CATCATCACCATCATCATCATCATCATCATCATCATCATCATCATCATCATCATCATCACCACCATCATCATCATGATCATCGTCATCATGATCATCACCATCATCATGATCATCATCATGATCATCGTCATCATCATGATCATCATCATCATCATCATCGTCATCATCACTGCCATTGCGGACTCACCATTCTCTGTGACCGTAACCATCGTTCTTGTGTTTCTTCATTATTGGAACAAAAGATGGCACCACCGCTTCTGCGCACGACTGTACGGGGAAAAATTATGCATGCCACATTAAGAACATACCAAACAGCCCACTAACACACACATGCACGCACGCACGCACCCAAGCATTCACGCACGCACACACACCAACAAGAACAAATATTAGAACTGTGTCCATCCTAGCAAAATTCTATCCCAAAAAAGAAATCTATAAATCTAGTTGAAAATTAATTCAAAGCCTGATCTAAATACGAGCATATACTCGTATTGAACAGCAAATTAATTCCATCTTAGTAGAGAAATGCAGGCAAAAATTTCACAATGAAACATGTTAACAAGAATGAATAATGACAAATCTTTCATCATTCGCCCCGGATGTTGATGAACAAGTAAAACAAAACAGGTAAAATAATACGTGTTAACATAACGCATTGTGTGCCTTGTTGGTCTCACACAGCACAGTCACACGCGCAGAAGAATTGATGATAATATACACTGCATCAATGGTCTTATGTATTCTCCATTGTCATCTATCTACACTCATATAATATCAAGAGCAGATAAAGAAGGATCTTCTTTATCTGCTCTTGATAATATGTACCTGTACGAAGGCAAATGCTGCCTCTTGATTGGGCTGATCCAAATCATCGAAAAATATACCGCCGACACCTCGCCTCTCACCTACCAACAGATTAAAGACTCTATTTATAAGTTAAATGAATTAGTTATTACATATTGCACTATTTATAATATATATTATATAAAATAGAGATTATATTACACATATATTACAATGTAAAGAGCAATGCTACGTAACCATAACAACCCAGTCCAGCACGCGTAGATTTGTTCACCTCGACTCAGTCACCTCTATACCTTTAAACAATTTCTCCCCGTAGATGGCGCCACGATGCAATATTGCACTGCAGTATGTGTGATGAGGGGATACCAAGACATTTGTTGTATATTTGAGTAGTTACATAAATATATACGCACACGCACACAAACACACGTATTCTTAAAAATGGAACCAGCGTGAGTTCGCATACCTCTGTGTTTGACAAAGAAGTAGTTGTCGCACCATGTCTTGAACTGCTTGTAGTAACTTTTGTCGTGCTTGTCACATGCCTTCTTCAGGGTTTGATGAAACATCTTCACGTCCTAGCAACAGAGCGACATAACACTTTTACCACCGCAGGGCTCCCTCTGGATGTTTTAAAGTTTGAGCCAAGACTTGAGCCACCAATGAAAGACTATAGCCACCCTTTACTACATCGTATGTGCTAGGCAAGGCATAAACAGGTGATGGGTATGGGGAAAAAGAGGTGTACGAAAAACATTTTACGACACGACACTGCTTTCATTATTCAATTGTAATTTTGTGAGCAGTTATATCTTTCGGCAATTGTATTTGCCGCTTAGTGTAGTAAACTCGCCACTATAATTTATTTACCGCGTTTTGGGAAGGTGGCGAATGCCAGCGGTAGCCCTGACCAACATATAAACAGCATTAGCGTCACATCTCTTGGTTATCATCATCATCATCGTCATCGTTTTCATCATCATCATCATCATTGTCGCTGCCATCATCGTTGTCATCATCATCATCGTCACTGTCATCATCATCATTGTCATCATCATCATCATCTTCAGCAGCACCAGAAGCATAACCACCTCCTCTCCCCTACCATTTGTCAGGATTATAGTCATATTCATCATCATCGTCATCAGCAGCAGCATCATCATCATCATCATCATCATCATCATCATCATCATCATCATCATCAGCATCAACATCATCGTCATTATAAGCATCAACAGCATCAACCCCCCCCCCTACCCCTTACCCGAATTCTAACCTATGTCTTCTATTCACCTCTTCATCCAGGTAGTACGGAGTTAAGTCGGTTCCTCCACCGAACCACCAAGATGTCTTCCCATCTCCCTCGTCCACCTCAAAGTACCGATAGTTGAAATGTATCGTCGGAACGTTGGGATTCTTCTGCAAACACAGATAGCCTCTTGTTAGCTGTCGCCATGGTGATCGAGGTGATTGTTGTCAGGGAGACCCTTGTCGTATGAGTGACAGTTAGAGTGGAAATGTGGCGCGAATGAAGTTCAAAGGTCACCGACAGACGTAGAATACACGTACAGATATATTACTCGATCAGCATAGATAGTAGCATTATGCATACATCATGATTAGGGGTTATCATTCTATCACGATCAGGGCTTATCATTCTACCACAAACTGGGATTATCAGTCTGTCACGATCAATCTGTTATCAATTTATCACAATCCAGGGTTAACAAACTATCGCAATCAGGGGTCATGATTTATCTGTCTGTCTGTCTGCCTGCCTGCCTGCTTGCATGGCTATCTGTCTGTCTGTGTGTCTGTATGCCTACCTGTCTGTCTGTCTGTCTGCCTGCCTGCCTGCTTGGCTGTTGCATGCCTAATGCCTGCCTGCCTGTTTGCATGGCCTAATCTGTCTGTCTGCCTATCTGTCTGTCCGTGTGTCTGCATGCCTATCTGTCTGTCTGTGTGTCTGTAGGCCTGCCTGCCTGTTTGGCATGCCTATCTGTCTGTCTGTGTGTCTGTATGCCTGCCTGCCTTTTTGCATGCCTATCTGTCTGTCTGTGTCTGTATGCCTGGCCTGCCGTGTTTGCATGCCTATCTGTCTGCCTGCCTGCCTGCCTGCATGCCTATCTGTCTGTGCTGTGTGTCTGTATGCCTGCCTGTCTGCCTATCTGTTCGTCTGCCTGCCTGCCTACCTGTCTGTCTGTCTGTCTGCCTGCCTGCCTGCTTACATGCCTATCTGTCTGTCTGTGTGTCTGTATGCCTACCTGCCTACCTGCCTACCTATCTATCTATCATGATATGTATTATCCCGTCGATCCTATCCATGGATTAATCATCTATTACAATCCATACTATATACACATCTATTACATTCAATAGCTATCTCACACTTACTGGATGCACGACTGAACTTATTCCGGCAGCAAGAATGGCAACTCTCCGTCCTTTCAGGTCCTTACCTCTGCAAGAGAGAACAAGCAAGGTGATGGCAGTAACAATGGTCCGCAAATAGAGTAAGAATGCGGAAGAACGCATTACGTGTATGCGTTATCACTTACCCATATTACCATTATAATTATTATTGAATTATATTATTTATTTATTTATCTATTATTACCATTATTATATTATTAGTTACTATTACTACTATATTCACATTATATTTACTAGCATTATTACTGCGGAGACAAAGTAAACAACGGCAAATTCACGTGGAAACGCAAATGGACTTGCAGTGATCGAGCTCCATGTGAATCTATTGTAGCAGTATGTATATATTGTAAGCAGTATGTATATATTGTAGGCAGTATGTATATATTGTAGCAGTATGTATATATGGATAATTACCTAAAGACCTCCTTTACCTCTTTACCTTAAAAGTGATTAGCGTCATGAATTTCTAGCACCATCAAGTAGTATATTTGTGTGTTATTTGTACAAATAAAATGTATGAAAATACAATTAGTGTTTCTGTTTACTTTTCATGCTAATATACCTTTCTTTATATGCCCTAATTTGCCGTGAAAAACAGAGAGATGGCCAGTATCTGAACAGTACTGGCGGGAATAGTGGTAGACAACAGAAATTACCAAATCGTCTAGATTTTTGCAAATTTACACACCGTAAAAATATTTTTATCAGGTGAGAGTTTGAGGATATATTTAGTGAACGTTAGTTCTTACTTTAATGTAAAAAAAATGGGATTTTTTTTTTTACAAATTTTACCATGGAAAATCGTGACGTAGTCATTTTTATAGACTCGCCCAGTAATAATAACGCTAGTAAATATAATGTGAATATAATAATAATACATAATAATAACAAT